ATAAAACACCATTCCTTTCTCTATCTTGATTTAACCACAAATAAAATTTATACTTCCAAGCATGTGGTTTTCTTTAAACATATAAATTTATAAATTAAAATCAACCAATGATCCTTCTAATAATGATGATTATCTTTTCATGCTATTTTTTTGTTTAACAAACCCGATAAGCAAAGTTCTCTCTCCCTTAAACACTAACTTGTATCTACCAATATACACCTATCCGTCTTTGCCCCTATTTCCTTTCCCTTGCCCATTTTATCTCAAACGTTTAAAACTACACCATAAACTCTTTTGTCCTCTTCTACCTCTTCCTTTTCCAAGTCAAATGCAACTCCAAGTTCACATATATACAAGGACTCTTCTACATCCGTCTCCATTCAAGGTATGTCTCATTCTCCAACCACTTTTTTTACTTCAAAAAAGTGTCTCTTGTCTTTTTCTAGAACTACAATCTCCTCAAAGAATGGTCTTCATGCCTAAAATAACATTGATAAACCTAAACTTTTTTTTAATCTCTACATTGTCACATACTCTATTAGTACTTTCTCTTCGCTTAAACTATGCTCTTTTACCTAAATCAATAGATTTTCTCACTAGCATGCTACTAAAGAGGAAGAAATTTTAGACCTTACAAAAAATAACACTTGGACCTTCGATCCTTGTTTCCTAACCCAAAACATTATTAGTTGTAAATAACGTATCACATCAAATACCATCTTGATGGTTTCATTTCCCACTACAAGTGGTCGTCTAGTGCTTAAAGTATTTCACTAATAGTTAAGTATTGACTTTCATAAAACATTCAGTTATATTGTTAAATTGGCAACCATTCATCTTATTCTTAGTTTAACAATCTCCCATTATTGGCTTATTAATTAGTTGGATCTTAACAATGCATTTTTATAAGGACACTTGTTTGACACTATTTTTATATAGCAACCTCAATGTTTTATTGATTCTTAATATCTCTCATATGTTTGCAAGCTCTACAAAGCTTTCTATAGTATACTCAAGCCCTCGAAGCTTGGTATACAATACTTCACTCTTTTCTTCTAGCTAATGGTTTTGTAAATTCCAAGAGTGAAGCTTCTCTCTTCATCCGTAGAACACAAGGTAGTTGTCATTTATCTCTTTGTGTATGTTGATGATATTATCCTCACTAGTAGAAACTCTTTCTTTCTTCAACATGTCACCGGGACTCTATCTTCCCACTTTTCATTGAAAGAGCTTAGCCCTCTCGATTAGTTTCTAGGTGTTGAAGTACATAGAACTCCTAAGGGGTTGTTTCTTATTAAAAAAAAAAAAAAGTCCTAGATCTTCTCCATAAACTTAGTATGTATGAAGCAAATCAAGTTAGCATGCCTCTATCCTTCTATGAAACACTAAAACTTTTTTATGGTTCTCCTAGTCATAATGCCAAGTCTTTGGCTCTCTTTAGTACCATTCTCTAATTCGATCGGATATTTGTTTTTTTTTTTTAATAAACTTGCTCAATTCATACATCTACCCTCATTCTCTCATTGGGTTGTCTGTTAAAAGAGCCCTTTGATACTTGAAAGAGACTTCCCATTGTGTTCTCTTTCTTTCCGCTCATTCAAACCTTTCTCTCCATACCTTTTATCAATGTTGACACTCGTCATTCTACTTCGTCTATGTTATCTTCTTGGGTTTTAATCCCGTCGATTGGAGCTCTAAGATTCAAACCAATGTTGCTTAGTCCTCTACTAAAGCAAAATATTAAGCTATTGCTAAACTAAATTAGTAACTAATTTAATCGGTTGGTGTGTCACTACCCTCCACACTAACTCTCTACTATGATAATATTAATGCCACCTACTTATGCTCTAATCCCTTTTTCCACTCTCATATGAAACACATTGATATCGACTTCTATTTTGTTTGTGATCAAGTCTCTAACAACCTAGTTTGGGTCTCTCATGTCCACTCCTCTAATCAATTGGTTGATTCACTAATAAAACCTCTCACTCATCAACTTTTCCAACGACGATTGTACCAAGCTTAGCATCCTTTTTGGACCCTTATGCTTATAAGGGCATGATGGAGCAATATATTCAAATGCTAGAACCTTCGATCAAGAAATTACCAAAACCTCAAATCAAATGATTGCGGCTATTTAAACTTTCCTAATGACGTATATTCTTTGTAATTTTAGTTTTTATTAGCTAGATATTACTTCCTAATATTTGTATTAATTAGCTAGATTACTTACTATTATAGCATATAGAATCTTGTATTTATATTTCACGTTCTCTACTAATAAAATACGTCATTCATATAATAAAACCATATATGTGTCCGTGTGTGTGCATGTTATAATAATAATAATAATAACAACAATAATAATTGATTTAGTTTTTATTTTTAGATAAATAAATAAATCATAGCACATTTGAACATATTCATATGTTTTGGTTAATGGAAATACATCAAATTTTTTACATAACTCTAAAGTGTTTGGTAGAAAGAGAAGAAGTTATTTCTAATTATACATATATTAAAAAAAAGTATGGTTTTATTATAGCTAAATCTTTGTTGCAATAAACAAAACCACATCGTTTTATGTCATTTTGGGTTGAATGATGTTAGTTTACAAAGAAAAAAAATATTCTTGAACTTAATTTATGTTATAAAAAGCTACTTGTGATTTTTTTTATGGGTGGATTGTGCTTCCAATCCAAATGTGTGGGCTTGGTTGTCTTAGGTCCATTCGGAAAGGTCTCTTTTTTTGTTTTCTTTTTCCTTTCTTATGCTTTTATTGTAATATTGAACAAAAAAGTCAATAAACTTAATTTTTGTTTAACAAAGTTCTTCTTTTTTTTTTTTAATTGTTGAGATGTGTTTTTTTTTCTTAATAGTTAATGATTATTTCTTGTTATAAACTTATTAACTAAAATTAAACACTATTCGAATAGAAATTGATTTAGCACTCGCTTCTAATTTGATTTTGTTTTAAACAAATAATTAATTACATGTTTTTATTGATTAAAATCAAACATATTCATAGGATATATTTAAACTCAATTATAGAATATAAATATTTCATTAAATATTGCATAATAGAAATTAAATAAAATAAATTATCATAATTAATGTTAATTAATTTCTATTTTACGTCTATATTTTAGTGAAACATTTTTGGTAATTCATGAAGAGATAGTTTATTAATAGATCTAGGGATAGTTAATTGATAAATTGAGAGATAAATAATCTGATTTTTTTACATCTAGATCTTGAATATTTGAAATCTATATTATACAAGTAGACATTACTTCTATCAATTCAAATTTATATATATAATCGATAATTTTTTAGCTATTATATGCATGGTCCCTCTCCCGAATCACCTTGTCGAAATGTAGGTCAAGGATCCCTAAATTAATAGTAACGTTGTAATTTGATACTTCTCACTCTAATCTACCATGCATGCTTGTTCCTAGGCAAAGCTAGCTCTCCTAAATGTCGGGTCTATAAACATGGCCTCCCTCCTTTTCTCTTTTCTTTTTCCTTATGCTTTTATTGTAATAATGTATAAAACGGTCTCTAAATTTATTTTTTATTACAGCAAAGTTCTTAGTTTTTTTTTTTTTTTAATGATTAGGATGTGTTTTTTTTTTCTCAATAGTTAATGGTTATCTTTTTATAGAATAATTAATTGTATGTTATCTTAATTTTTTATTGATTAAAATCAAATATATTCCTACGATATATTTAAACTCAATTATAGAATATAAATATTTTATTAAATATTTAAACTCAATTCTAATGTTAATTATTTTTCATTTTACACCTAAATGTTTTAAATTATTTAAGGTATTAAAATATATTACATAAACTTGCCCATAATAGCGCTTGATAACTATACTAGGAACAACTATATTTGAAGGTTTTCACCTTCAAATCCAAAGAAAAAAAAAGATTAAACACACTCTGTCATGTATTATTCAATAATATTTATTTGAATCCTTCTATTTTGATATAATGCATAATAAATCTTATACAATTAGACGTTGGTACAAATCAGTTCTTTCATATTGAACAAGTTCCATCGGTTAATTAATATCCGACCATTCATGTGGTGACATTGTCACCTAAAAGATAAAAATATAATTTTTTTAAAAATCAATTTTTTTTATTTTTTTTACTTAAAATAATTAATAAGTATTATAAAATCATAAAGTGAAAATAATTAATTAGTTTTTTTTCAAATTTTTATTAAGTTAAAAAATTAATAAAAATTTGAAATTAGTTTCTTAAAAATAAGTTATAAAATCAGTTTTTAAAATAATTTATTTGAAATTAATAAATTATAAAAAAATACAATTATTTTAACTTAATAAATTATTAATTTTAAAAAATACATTTTAATTTAATAATTATTTTAATGTAATAAAATTTTGAAAAGAAAATTATTAATTTTTTTTCATTTTTTTAATGGTTTATAATATTTATTAAGTATTTTAAGTTAATAAAAATTAAAAAAAAACTAATTTAAATGAAAAATTGTTTTTGAACTTTAATATGACTCGTGTCATCACATAAATAGTTAGACGTTGTTCAATTGATGAAATTTAGTCAATTTAATCGAAGGATTTAACGAAGATGCTAATATATAGTCATGTCTAATAATACAAAGTTTGTTATAAGCTAAATTTGAATAAAAAAATGAATAAATAATATTAAATAGTACAAAGACAATATGTATTTAATCTGGGCAAAAAAAGTTAGAGGAGCTTTCGAAGAAGCATGCAGACCAAATGCCACCCTTAAGAAGGAGTGTGCTTGAGAGATATTGAGCGATGTGAATAAAAAATGAAGAAAAGTCAAATTCGATTAAAGGTATTAATTCTAGTTTGATGAACTTTCAATGGATAAAATTTATCAATACGCAAACCTTTGGTGTTAATGTTTTATATGAACAAGAAATTGCCTTATCAATTCTGAACCGCAAGATTTCGTTTAATGGTTAGAGAGTTGCCATGTCAGTGGTGTCAAACTTGTTGAAGTCAGTCAAAAATCACCTCCCTTTGGTTTGTTTATCAACGACAAAGTTTGAGAAGATAAACGGAGCTGGTGACATGGCATCATTTCAGCTCAGTACTGTTGCTTACCAATCCTCATCTTTTCGACGTCTTCCCGTTTCCCGCTTCGCATACCCATCCATTCGTTGCGCTAACGAGCGCCAGCTGCTCTTTAACCGCATCGCTCCTGTCTATGACAACGTATGTGCGCCACTCACTTTTTTTTTTTTTTTTGCCCTTTACTCTTCCTGTTTTGAGTTTTTCTTTTTCTACAGTTGAATGACTTGTTGAGTTTGGGTCAGCATCGTATCTGGAAACGTATGGCTGTATCCTGGACTGGGTAATTAATGTTGTTTTTCTTTTTGCCTTGTTTTGTTTTGTTTTTTTTGTTTTTTTCTTGTAATAAAAAATAAAATAAAATAAAATTGAATGATATTGGGACAGAGCAAGAATGGGAGACTGTGTGTTGGACTTGTGTTGTGGAAGTGGTGATTTAGCATTTCTCTTGTCTGAAAAAGTTGGCTCCAATGGCAAGGTTGGTTGCTTTCTTTTTTAAATCCTGACTTGTGCTTGAGCAATGGGAAACAATTTCTTGTCGAAATTTGTAGGTGACTGGTCTTGATTTCTCGAAGGAGCAGCTATTGATGGCTTCAACCCGTCAAAATTTGCTTTCAAATGCCTGCTTCAAGAACATCGAGTGAGTGTTGGTATATATACCCATTAGGAGTGTGAAAAGATTTTTCACACCTAGTGATTTTAACATTTTGGATAACCTGCTTTACATTATATTGATTGATCGCAGGTGGGTTGAGGGTGATGCAACTGATTTGCCGTTCCCGGATTGTTACTTTGATGCTATTACTATGGGTTATGGGCTGCGAAATGTGGTGGATAGGCAGAAGGCCATGCAGGAGATGATTAGAGTACTGAAACCAGGTCCTATCTTCTTCCCTCTTGTTTGAATTAACAAATTTTGGCATTCTCAACCTTGTGTTGATATATGCAGGTTCTAAAGCATCAGTCCTTGATTTTAATAAAAGCACTCAGCCGTTTGTTGCTTCATTTCAGGTATTTAGTTGCAAAATGGGATGAATGCTTTTCTTTCTTTTTTTTTTCTTTTAGATATTGAATGTTTGTTGATGTTATGTGCCTGTAGGACTCTGAGGAAAGAAATTCAATCCTTAGCAATGAATGCTTTTGCATGAATAGTTGTCCTATTATCTATGATGATTGATAGCTGTGTGCTTCGAAATTACAGTTTTCTATGATGATTGACAACTGTATGCTTTGAAATAACTTTATCCTTCTTTTTAAGAATGTTTGTTCGATCATTAAAAAAAAAAAAAAAAGTTTGCTTGATTGTGTTATTGTCAGACAGGTGTAGAGTTTATCTCTAACCAGTATCTGATAAAATCAATTCTTTTGTATGCTTTTTTGTCACAAGGAATGGATGATTGACAACGTTGTTGTCCCTGTGGCAACTGCATATGGTCTTGCAAAGGAGTACGAATATTTGATTGGTTCAATCAGAAAATACTTAACAGGTTTGTTCTTCCTCTGTAACTTTTAATCTATTATGCCTTTTGTTGGATTAAATGTGCATTGATTGGAGAAAGACAAATTTTGAAATCTGATGAAAGATCAATTGTCCAAACATTGTACATCTGGCTTTTTATCCATATCAACAGTGAGCTCTCAGTTTTTTTTTTTTCCTTCCAGTAGTTCTTGTTACTCTCTTTGTCTGGAAATTTTCTTTAGACCCCTTTTTATAATGTATGAGAGTTTGTGATCTGTTGTTAATTTACTCTGTAAAACTTCATGAAGTTCTATAGTGACATGCTGGGTTTCAAGAAGTTCAATCTCTTCTTTAGTTTATTTAGAAGCAAATGAAAATATCACTTTGAAGACCATTATAACATGGAAGGAGACATGCATCACCTCTCTAGTGTTTTATTTATTTCTAGTTGGGTGATGTAATGTATATTTTTAATACAGGGAAGGAGTTGGAAGAACTTGCTCTGGAAGCAGGATTTTCTACTGCCAAACATTACGAGATTAGTGGAGGTCTAATGGGGAATCTAGTAGCCACACGTTAGATAAGGTTAGTTCTCAGTTTTTAACTGTCTGTTTTATAAGTTTTTGTGGGGCATTGAAAATTATAAAGTCGTTGATAATTTTTGTCTTTAGAATGTTGACTGCAACCCAGGCGTTCAAATGATGAGCTAAAAGCCACAAACAATTTGGCTACATGGATGACAAATCCATTGTAATCAATTTTCAATGGGAGCGTCTTACCCTAGTTGCTCGGTTTTTGCTAGCTTCGGTCTGTTTTATAATGGTACTCCTTGATGGAAGAGGAAATGCATGCCAACCCATCAATCAACAAGGTTGTGTTCTTAAATGATTTCAAAATAAGAATAAAAGAGAGAGAGAGATCTTAAAACTTGTAATTCTAGTTTTCCTTGATCTGCATTTGTTGATTTATACCTGAAAATTTTTCTAAATCAGTAAATAAAACTTTACACTGTCATGCACTTTTGTCCAACTCCATGATGAAAGGAATTTTCGCATTACTGCCCTTGATCTCATCTCTGCAACTTTGTAATTAATTGACGAACTTCTCATATGCCCATCATCATATTCTTTTTGCAAATGCTGCCAACGTGGTGCTTGCTTGAATGAATCATGTGTAAAATCCACCTTTCGTCATATTCTTTTTGCTCTGTTCCTTTGTAAAATCTACCTTTCATCCATCTTGAGGTCATCTTCCGTAGAAGGAACTATTTTCAATGGTGGCGATTGATGCCGAAGTACCAGAATTAAAGAGGTAACATCCGTCCTCACATGTTTCATTGAGGTCCATGGTCATTTCATCCATGAAAGCGGGATTGGTGGGCTGAGGGAGGTGGTCCTCAGTTGCTAGCATTTGTAGAGCCTTTGACATTGTTGGTCGAAGTGATGAGATTTCTTGGGTGCACAGAAGGGCCACATGCACCACTCTTGTAACATCATTCTTAACATTGTTATCATGGAGGTTACGCAACATCAGATTTGGGTCATAAAGCTCCTCCACAGTTCCTGCCTGGAATTTTTTCCACGTCTGTTTTCTCCGACAAAAGAAGAGGATTTATAGATAAGTTCAATAACTGACTTTATTAATTAAAGAAAATAAAGAAGTTTTATGGAAAGCAGTGGTTCTGAAACTTACTAGTGTGGCTAGACTGTCCGTGTATTCCGAGGCTTTGTTCCTGTTGTTCTGCCTTCCTGTAACAATCTCTAACAAAAGCACCCCAAAGCTGTAGACATCTGCCTTTTCTGTTAACTGACCATGGGCTAGGTACTCTGGAGCCATGTAGCCTCTGCAAATTATTTGAATTCATTGCTTGTTCGAATATTCAAGGACTTCACTATGTCCGTGTTATGGTTTGCATTTAAAGTACTGCAAGATATTGAGCTAGCAAACTCTCCTTTGAGCACTTTGGAAATATCTGAAAAAAAGGATACTTACAATGTTCCTGCAATGGCTGTGCTGATGTGACTCTTATCTTCTTGGAAAGACCTGGCCAACCCAAAATCGGCAATTTTAGCACGAAACCTTGAATCTAACAAGATATTGCTGGCCTTTATATCTCTGTGAATGATTCTGATTTTGGAGTTCATATGAAGGTAGACTAAACCTTCTGCAGTACCAATAATTATCCCAAATCTGTCCTCCCAGTTCAGCGCCTTGCCTTTGTTCTTATCTGCCACATTTAGATATACAAAACATCATCAGATTCCATTTCACTGAGCATTCAGACTCCGACATAGGCTATAAATGGTAACAACCAGCAATGAAATAGTTCAGCATTCTCATTGTTACTCTATTGATAGCTTTTTTGCAAAATCAGAATCAAGGTTTAACTGTAGAATTCTAGTATCTACCAAAGATGAAACGATCGAGACTCTTGTTAGACAGAAATTCATAGACGAGAAGGCTTTCAGGTCCTGAACAACTGCATCCCAACAATCTGACCAGATTTTTGTGTTCCACACCGCTTATCATGTTAACTTCATTGTAGAAATCCGCTGCTCTATGTCTACTGTTAAAGAAAAGCCTCTTCACCGCAATTTCCCTTCCGTCAGGCAAAACTCCCTGAAATGAACAAATAAAACTTAGACAAAACCTGGTCTAGTTTAGTAGTTTGAAATTTTTTTTATATACTGACATGGCGTAAGGAAACTAGTTGAGTTACCTTGTAAACAGATCCAAATCCTCCTTGTCCAAGCTTGTTGGTGTCATCAAAAGATCCAGTAGCCTTCTCAAGCGTCGAGTACTTGAAGTTCAAGCTACTGTCATTGAGGATTTTGACCATCTTTTGAGCCTCATCAGAACCTGTAAGACGAAGACACAAGCATTCCAGAAGTCCAGGAAAATGTCAAAGATAACCAATACTAATATAACTTGTCAGATTATGTGGGTGTTATATGTTGTCAGAATCTGATAACACATGTAAAGGAAGTTTATTACCTCTTCTTTTCTTCTGTATGTATCTGTGTTTCCATATACAAACTCCTACAGACACTCCAACTCCCAAAACCACCAGAGAGCTGATAACCGAAACCACTATTATTATAACGCTCCCTGCAGTTCATTAATCCAGATGCATGAATCACAAGGCCAAGTTTATTAATGTAAGACCTTCAAATATATATGAACTGCATTCAGACATAGCAACTTCGCAATACAAGAAAATGCAATTCCTTTACCTCTGGAACTTCCATGCCCAAGTTCTTTGTTGAGAAAATCTATATCCGAGTATCTCATGAAACACCCAGTATTTAGTGCTCTGCCCTCCGACCAAGGCAAACATCCCAATATAGATGCAGTGGCATTCTCCAAGCATGCCCTGCAAGAGCTTGCATTTAATGTCTTCCAGCAATTAGCTAACACATAAGCTGACTCATTTCTACCTGGAACTGTGACTTGAGCCCGTGCATAACCTTGATTATTTGGTGCACTAGTAACTGCTTGTGAGACAGCCTGCCGAGTCGATTCTGCAAAGATCGAATTCTTAAGCGTTGTATTTCCACAAACAGCCTTATCTCCAGGTCCTTTATATTCTTCATAGAAACTATAATTCTCAGATCGCATGAAGCAACCATCAAGGTAAATGCGGCCCCCATTGTAAGGATAGCATGTTGGAAGAATTGTGCGTGCCTCGGCATAGCATAACATACAGTCAAGTAAAGAGAGGTCCCCATAGCACTGGGCAAGGCCATGGTCATTGTCAGGTCCAGAACCTGAAACCGCTTGTCCAAAACCTGAAGCACGCATCTGTTCACTGATGTTTTCCATTGCGGCAACAAAATTTGGCAGGACGATAGTTGAATTGTGCTCAAGTTGCTTTTCACACATAATCTGGACCGTCTGAGCTCTTGGATCTCCAACCACTACTCTTTCATGCAACAATAGATACCCAAAAAGGTACAGGAAAATACTTTGGCAGGGGATTGATTGGGTTGCTTTCGTCATCTTTGGCTTTGATTATGAGGCTGGCTGTGCAAGGTGGATCGGGTGGTTAGAAACTGTCAAGTCATGCATTAAGACGATTAATTAAGATGGTAAAGGGGTAGATAGTACCGAAAACATAAAGATTTCAAAGCACGAAATGAGAAACAAAATTCAAGAGAAATATAAAGAATACATATTGTTCAAAACTGTCAAAATTATGGAAATGGATGCTCATTCGTGATGACGGAGTACACACTCCTAGCTTTGTTGCAATGACGTGTGTGTATGTGCGTAGAGAAAGAGAGAGAGAGAGAGGAATGTAAAGATATGGAATCAGAATAAAACTTATTAGCGTATCAAATAAATTTAAAGATCAGAAACAACAACTTGTGTGAATATATATAGATGAAAGGATTTGCTAACTAAAAATAGAGAACAGAGAGATGTTGAGTGTTGAGCAAGATTGGAGAATTAATTAGACTGGGTGACGAGGTCAGTCTTGGCTTCACCTGTTTCTGCTAACTAAAAATAGAGAACAAGATAATGAAGGAAGATAGAAATCAACGGCAAAAACGCGTTTCTAGTCCCGCTCCCTCCTCTGACGTTTCGTCGCTTTCGTTTAGCAAAAGCACCTTCAATTTGTTGACTCAAGTGGACCCGAATTTTGACGTAGGAATCAACGGAAGGAAATTTCTCTGTAATATATTGGAAGGATGTGCTTTGATTATTATTAAAATTTTCAATGGTCATGGTGTCTTGGTTATCTTATTGATCCATTGAGTAAGTTTCCCTCACAATCTTGCTTACCATGTTCGGTTAAGATAATAATAAATATGAAAACCAAGCCCAGTAATTAGCATTTGAACTAAAATCTCATGACGCTTTAGAGTATTAATGATTATTTTATGATAATTTGTGACCATAATCACCACCAATAATTAAATTCAACGATTTATTATTATTTTAGCGTTAGAATGTTTTTTCAACGTTAAACATAACCTCAAACTTGGGACGTTGAGCACCGAAAAGTCTCGAGCTAGCAATATTAGACTTGACGCGTTATTTTTGTCCTAGAACTCAACAAAGACGCGCAAGGGTAGCTCGCAGCTTGATTAGAAATAAGACTAGATAGGTATCCGTGCTACGCTATGATCGAACACCTATATATATATATATATATATATATATATAGCTTATTTTAGTTAAAAAGTTAGAATATAAAAATAAATTATAAGAATTGATATTATATGTGCGGATATATAGTTAATTTCTAATAAAACTAATAATGTATATATATCGATTCAAAGTATAAAGAATGAATAGAAAAATATAAAAAGAAATCTACCTAAATTGCATGAAATATATTGAAGTCAAGCCTAAAAAAAACCACAACAAAATTGATTTTGATAAATTCTGAATAAATATATATAAAAAAATAAAAATTCTGAGTTTTTTTTTTAATTGAGCTAAACTATCTAAAACATATTTTTATCTCCCCCTCCCCCTCTCTCTCTATATATAATCATAAATTATAAATTATAAGAATATATTTTTAAAATATAAAACATCAATATTCTAAAATTTTATTCCAAAACTCATATGTTAAAAAAAAATTATTAACAAATAAAATTATATATAAAAAATTAATTTGATGAGAATTTCAATAAGAAACAAATAATTGAAGAAATAAAATTTAAACAATAAGAGTAATATAATCAGATATATATGTCAAAACTAAAATCTTAAAAATATCATATATATTCTATCATCTTCAAACTATATGTAAAACTAAAAAAAATAACGATTTATTTTCTATATTTTTCACACATAATTTTATGATATATATATATATATATGTGTGTGTGTGTGTGTGTGTGTGTGTGTGTGTATATGTGTATATATATATATGTGTGTGTGTGTGTGTGTATATATATATATATATATATATATATATTTGTGTGTGTGTGTGAAGAAAAAAGAAGAAGACAAGCTCGTTAAATTGTATGAAATATATTGAAGTCAATAGACTAAAATAAAAACTATAATAAAATTAATTCGATAAATTTTGAATAAATATATATAAAATAAAAATAAATTTATTGCTTTTTTAATCGATTATTAATTTTTTAAAAAAAATTAACCCAAACTATTTAAAATATATACTCTCTCTCTCTCTCTCTCTCTCTCTCTCTCTCTCTCTCTCTCTCTATATATATATATATATATATATATATATATATATATATATATATATATATATATAATCGAATTTATAAATTTTAATAATATATTTAAAAAACGAGACGTTCTAAAATTTTATCAACAAATGAAATTATATCAAAAAATTAATTTGATTAGAATTTAATAAGAAACAAATAATTGAAAAAATAATTTTTAAACAATAAGAGCAAAAATTTAAAGAAAAAACTAAGAAAATAAAGGAAAAAAAGTAATAGTAAAAAAGGTTTTTAAAAAGAAAGAAAAAAAAACTAAAATTGAGTAGTATAGTGTGAGGGTAAACTAAATCATCAGCTTGTGTGAAAAAAATAACGATCGATTTTTAAAAATTTGAACACTCAATCAAATAAAAAAAGAACATAAATTGATGAGAAAAAGAAAAAAAAAGGCATATAGTGCATCATCTAGAGATTAAAATTTTTATTTTAAAATTTTTGAGATCAAAATAAAATAATTCAAAATTTTAAAAAAGCCTAAGGAAAAAAATCAAGAGTGAAAATTAAAAATATATATATAAAAATAATTTAAAATTTAAAAAAGCTAAGAAAATAAGAAAATAAGTAAGAGTGAAAATTTTAAAAAAAAAAAGGGGGGGGGGGGGAAATAAGATTGAGTAGTATAGTTGAGGGTAAAGCAAAAGTAAAAGTAAAAAAAAAACATACTCTTCAAATGAAAAATACCTTCTTCATTCTCTCTCTCTCTCTCTCTCTCTCTCTCTCTCTTTGTGTGTACTTTAAAAAATAAAACACTTATTTAAAAAGCATAAAAATAATTCATTGCATAAATTATAATAATCTATTTTAAAAAACACCGATGTTCTAAACTTTTATTAACAAATAAAATTATATCAAAAAATTAATTTGATTAGAATTTTAATAAGAAATAAATGATTAAAGAAATAAATTTTAAACAATAAGAGTGAAAATGTAAAATAAACTAAGAAATAAGAAAAAAGTAATAGTGAAAAGTTTTTAAAAAAGGATAAAAAAGCTAAGATTGAGTAGTATAATGTGAGGATAAAGCAAATCATCAACCTCGTTTGAAAAAAAAAATGATCGATTTATAAAAATTTTAACACTCAGTCAAATAAAAAAATAAATTAATAAGAAAAAAAAACCAAAGAAAAAAAGACGTATAGTGCATCGAGTTAGGGATGAGAATGAAATAATTCAAAAAACTTTTTTTAAAAAAAAACCTAAGGAAAAAAACTAAGGGTGAAAATTAAAAAGAAAAAAAATTAAAAATTAAAAATAAACCTAAACAAATAAGAAAATAAGTAAAAGTGAAAATTAAAAAAGAAGGGGAAAAAAACTCAAGGAAAAAAAGCTGTTCAAATGAACGATACTCGAATGATGGTTCACTGTTCATACTAATTATAATAATATATTTTAAAAAATAAAAGACTCATTTAAAAACTATAAAAATAATTTATTGCATAAATTATAATAATATTTTTTAAAAAACATTGACATTTTAAATTTTTATTAACAAATAAAATTATATCAAAAAATTAATTTGATTAGAATTTTAATAAGAAACAAATAATTGAAGAAATAAATTTTAAAAAATAAGAGTAAAAGTTTAAAAAAAAAACAACTAAGAAAGTAAAAAAAATTAATAGTGAAGTTAAAAAAAAAAAAAAAAACTAAGATTGAGTAGTATAGTGTGAGGGTAAAGTAAATCATCGGCTTGTTTAAAAAAAATAACGATCGATTTTTTAAAATTTTAACACTCCAAATAATTGAAAAAAATAAAATTTAAACAATAAGAGTAAAAGTTAAAAAAAAAAAACTAAGAAAATAAGAAAAAAATAATAGTGAAAAGTTTTTTAAAAAAGGAAAGAAAATAAAAACTAAGATTGAGTGGTATAGTATAAAGGTAAAGTAAATTATCAACCTATTGGAAAAAAATAAAAATCGATTTTTAAAAATTTTAACACTCGATCAAATAAAAAAAGAACATAAATTGATGAGGAAAAAAAATCAAAGAAAAAAAGACATATAGTGCATCGACTAGGGATTGAAATTTTTATTTTAAATTTTTAGGGATCAGAATGAACTAATTCAAAAATTAAAAAAAAAAAACTAAGGGTGAAAATTAAAAAGAAAAAATGAAATAATTTGATAATGTAAAAAAAAAACTAAGAAAATAAGTTTTATTTTCAATGATTAATATAAATCAAATTTATATATTAAGCAAAATCGATTGATATATATATATATATATATATATATATATATATATATATATATATATATTAGCATAAAAATTTGTATTTGAATAATTAGAAAGTTCTTTCAAAATATTATGTAACTTATTTTATTTAAAAAAAAGAATATAAAAAATAAATTATAAGAATTGATATCATATGTGCGGATATATAATTAATTTCTAATAAAACTAATAATGTATATATATTATATTCAAAGTATAAAGAATGAATAGAAAAATATAAAAAGGAATCCACCTAAATTGCATGAAATATATTGAAGTAAAGCCTAAAAAAAAACCACAACAAAATTGATTTTGATAAATTCTGAATAAAAATATATATTAAAAATAAAACTTGTGAATTTTTTTTTTAATTGGGCTAAACTGACTAAAACATACTTTTATCTCCTCCTCCCCCTCTCTCTCTATATATATATATATATATATATATATATATATATATATATATATATATATATATATATAATCATAAATTATAAATTATAAGAATATATTTTTAAAATATAAAACATCGATATTCTAAAATTTTATTCCAAAACTCATATGTTAAA